CTGGTTGGGGTCGCTTAACTGATGGCGGTGCAGTCTCCGAAATATTACAGTATAGTCGCAGTTTGACTGTTTTAAGTGATAAGCAGTGTGCTCGTATAGCCGGTCCCATTAATCCGGGCATACAATGTCTTTCTAAGGATAGAAATAGTGGCTTCTGTGATGGTGATGATGGTGGTCCAGCCGTACATAAAGGTGTTTTGATTGGCATCGCAAGTTATTACACCAATGGCTGTGGCTCTTCTGCGCCAGACGGTTATACCAAGGTGTCCTATTTTAATAATTGGTTAGTGGAAAATACTGTTTCGAAAACAGAATGAATTTGAAAGAAATCACAAGTTTATAAGCAATAAAGCTCAATATTAACCAACATTTTTGCATACAACTGTTATTTCTTATCAGTCCTGTGTTGTGGTCGAAAAGTAGAAGAGGAACCAGCGACTATGTTCGTAATTCAATTAATTCATGTATCGTTATCTTTCAATATCATCGAGAGAATTTCGCAGATTCTCACATAAAACAAATATCAAAGATAAAATATGATAAGTTAACAATTTTTTACTATAGTTAAAAATAATATTTCTTCCGATTCATGTTCTTTTACCATTTTATGATTTCACCATCACTATTATCGCAAAAACCAGTATCACCTTGGGTTTCAACATTTTTTAAAAGTTGGTGTGGCCTCGCGTTAATATATATCCCGTGTTAATATATATCTCGCAAACTGTTCAAGCGATATCATCCAAATTTGCACAGTTCATATTATTTCGACACCTCTGGCGACAGCATGAAAATAGATGAAATCGTATGAAAACCACGCCCACTCCCCATATAACGGGTTTGTGAAACACTACTAAAACTGCAATAAATCAATAAAGAAATACGTCAGAGACATTAGATTTTACATCCTAGATTGTACAAAGAGATTTTACATCCGAGATTGCACAAAGAGACCTTGTAGGAGTAGGTAGCAAAATTGGACAATAAGCGTGGCACCGCCCACATTTAGGTGAAATCACATAGCTCCAAACATACTCCACCAATTTCAACTAAATTTGGTTCATAAAATTATTTTAGAATTCTCTTTCTACAGTGCAAAAACGGAAATCGGCGAAATCGGACAGTTGCCACGCCTACTTCCCATATAACACAACTTTTAATTCCATGTGGTTTTTTCAATTTCTAGTATAAAAATCAAGCACTTACTAATATATCCGGATAAAAGCTTTCTCGAATATTTCCTTCAATGTGTGCCATCTCAAGTTTAAAACTTGTCAAAATCGGATCATTATCTTTACGCTAAATTTCTTAATATAAAGTTTTGCCAACATTTGAAGATCTTTCCGTCTTTGATCCTTGCAATTTACAAGAGTATGAAATGTTCGGTCACACCCGACTTCTTTCTGCCTTACTTATTGTATAAACATTTGTAGTCACGCGCCCAATTAATTTAATAAAGGTGTGTGTCATTGCTGAGTGATTACAATCATAATGGTTCAAAACCAAATTTTGGTGTATCTGCTTGTTAACTCTTGCGCATAACAATAGTTTTAGAATACAATTTGGGAATACTAACAAATCCTAACAATCTTTCTAGTTTTCTCTACTACTTGTTTAATATTATATTCATTTAACTTCATATCGGGCCTTTTTTCAGCCTTTTCGAATTCAATACAAAATTAAAACGAGTATAATTACTGCGGTGAAATATTTCTTAAAGTGGAGTATTAAGCAAAGATAAGCTTTCACCTAGCAACTATCAATGTAATCCATACGTAAGTTATTGTTTTCGAAGATCGTATAACTCACGAAACAAAAATCGTTTTTCTAGATGCTTTTCAAAAAATACACATAAATACATATAAAATTATACATTCTAAACTGTGCGGCCCTTTTCCTATTACCCCGTTCAAAAAAAGGCGAAACAGAAAACTTTAATTTTAATTTTACTCCAAACAAGTTATACGACATATAAATATATAAGGAGTCAACATGTTAAAGTGTATACATATCAACATACAAGTATATCTAAACATCTATCCTCTCAGGGCCAAGGAAATGCAATTTCTTCATTCCTTTTATATTTTTTGCTTTGCTTTAAATTTTATTTCAGGGTGTGCTGGTTCTCTTTGGCTTTTTTCTATTTGCTTTATTTACTTTTTTACTCGTTAACATTTTTAGTTTTTCACTATACATTGGTTATAACTAAAACTATTCATCTCGGCCAAAAAATGGAATTTAATCGCGAGCGTGAATATTTTTTACAACTTTTCGATTAACTCAGCAACGGTACATTCATGAACTTAATTCAATTTTTAGCGATGATGCCCCATCAAAGATCAGTACTTATCGATGTTATAGTGAACTCAATCGAGGTCGTAAATCACTTCAAGACGAATTTCGTGAAGGTATCGTCTTGTGAACGATCGTGAGATTAAGACAACTATAGGTATTAGTGCGACCAGCACGCAATCAAATTGGCATGAACATTTGATTTAAAAAAAAAATTGTTAACGTTAGATCCCACACAATTTGTCAATCGCTTAAAAAAAGGCTCTTGTCGATTGATCAAGAGAAATGTTAAAAAAATACGGTGCTTTAAAACATGTCTCTGATATCGTAGCAGGTGATAAATCCCGGATCTACGCAAATGAGCCTGATGATGATCCAAATCTAACAAAAGTTGTGTGCGCATATAGCACTTCCATACAAATGATACCACTAGAACAATGCAGAACAACAAATTTCGAGTGCTACAAACCCCTAATATTTGCCAGTTGTCTGTTAAGAAATCAGGCAAGCAAACCGCCGAGGACGAACCACTTTTCAACTGAAACAACTGCATTTTTGAGCACTCAAAACATCGATTTGATGAGTCATCCACCGTAAAGTCCTGACTTGGCACCGAATGACTTGTTTTTATTCCCGTACGTAAAAAATATACTAAGAGGTCAACACCTAAAAAGCCGATTGATTGATGCGTTCAGAATGCGTGTTTTGCAGACATCTCAATCAGAGTGGCAGAAGTGCTTCGACAATTGGTTCAACCGCATGCGAAAGTGTACAGACCTTAACCCATTCGCTGCCAAGCACAAGTATACTCGTCTTTAGCAAGGTGTCCCGCACTGTCAAGACAAGTATACTCGTCCCACTTTAGATATGTATATTATAACATGCAGGCTTTTGAATTAGCAAATTTTTTTTTTGCCACAAACATAATATAAATATATAAAAAACTTGAAAAATACAACAACATTTTTTTAAAAAAATAATACATTATTTCTTATAGAGAAAGATCTTTCACGCAAAAAGCAACTTCATCGTGTATTTATTACAAAATCATTTATTACAAAAAGCAACTTCATCGTGTATTTATTACAAAATCTTATAGCAACTAAATCACTTATGATACCTTATCTTCATGATAGGATTTATAACAAAGTCCAATGCATAGTGGAAGTTTATCAGGACAGCTTGGACAGTAATACCGAGTCTCCTTTCGAATGCATTTCGTTGCACAAACTCTACATTTGCGGGTTGGGTTTATCTTGTGTTGTGCGGCAGGAATACCATCAAGATAATGAAGGGAACTTTGTTCTTGGGGTATGGTTGACGCAGATTTATGAATCAATGGCAATGGGAATGACTTCATATAATTTAGGCTTGGCAGCGAATGTGTTAATGAAGAATATTATTAAACAATAAAGCCATTTTCGACTATTAACATTTCTTGCTGTTCTCTTATCTCGAAATATAAAGGGCATCATTCCACCAACTGTTGAGAAGAATTCTTGTTGACCATAAATCATTAGGTATTAGTACATTTCTTTTGTTATGCTGTTGAACGCATTATATATATTTATACATATATATGGATGATGTGATGATAGAATATTTCGTTCATTGGCATCTTGCTTTTAGACCTAGTTGCTATTTACTGTAAAATTTTGTTCAACTTACAAGATTTCTTCTACATATACTCACAACTCCCAATCGGCTTTTGCAATCGTAATTCAATTAATTACATGATCGTTATCTTTCACACATCGAGAGAATTTCGGATTCTACATAAACAATAATATCAAAGATAAAATATGATAAGTTAACATTTTACTATAGTTAAAAATAATATTTCTTCCGATTCATGTTCTTTACCATTTTATGATTTCACCATCACTATTATCGCAAAACCAGTATCACATTGGGTTTCACGATTTTTGTAGTTGGTGTGCTCGCGTTAATATATATCCGTTAATTATATATCTCGCAAACTGTTCAAGCTGATATCATCCAAATTGCGACAGGTTATATTATTTCTGACACCTCTGGCGACAGCATGAAAATAGATGAAATCGTATGAAAACCACGCCCACTCCCCATATAACGGTTTTAGAAACACTACTAAAACTGCAATAAATCAATAAAGAAATACGTCAGAGACATTAGATTTACATCCTAGATTGTACAAAGAGATTTTACATCCGAGATTGCACAAAGAGACCTTTGTAGGAGTAGGGTAGCAAATTGACAATAAGCGTGGCACCGCCCACATTTAGTGAAATCACATAGCTCCAAACATACTCCACCAATTTCAACTAAATTTGGTCTATAAAATTATTTTAGAATTCCTTCTACAGTGCAAAACGGAAATCGGCGAAATCGGACAGTTGCCACGCCTACTCCCATATAACACAACTTTTAATTCCATGTGGTTTTTCAATTTCTAGTATAAAATCACACTCTACTAATATATCCGGATAAAAGCTTCTCGAATATTTCCTTCAATGTGTGCCATCTCGTTTAAAACTTGTCAAAATCGGATCATTATCTTTACGCTAAATTTCTTAATATAAAGTTTTGCCAACATTTGAAGATCTTTCCCCGCTTTGATCCTTCAATTTACAAGAGTATGAAATGTTCTACACCCGACTTCTTTTGCCTTACTTATTGTATAAACATTTGTAGTCACGCGCCCAATTAATTTAATAAAGGTGTGTGTCATGCTGAGTGATTACAATCATAATGGTTCAAAACCAACACCAGCTGGCGAAGAGGTTACCATTACTGGTTGGGGTCGCTTAACTGATGGCGGTGAACTCTCCGAAATATTACAGTATAATCGCAAATTGACTGTTTTAAGTGATAAGCAGTGTGCTCGTATAGTCGGCCCCATTAATCCGGGCGTACAATGTCTTTCTAAGGTTAAAAATAATGGCTTCTGTGATGGTGATGATGGTGGTCCAGCCGTACACAAAGGCGTATTGATTGGCATCGCAAGTTATTATTCCGATGGCTGTGGCTCTTCTTCGCCAGACGGTTATACCAAGGTGTCCTATTATAATAATTGGTTAGTGGAAAATACTGTTTCGAAAACAGAATGAATTTGAAAGAAATCACAAATTTATAAGCAATAAAGCTCAATAGTAACCAACATTTTTGCATACAACTGTTATTTCTTATCAGTCCTGTGTTGTGGTCGAAAAGTAGAAGAGGAACCAGCGACTATGTGATTAATTTTTTTTTATATTTGACTTTTTTCCAAACCTAAGGAAGCTCATTAGTTACATTCATATTCAATTTCTAACCTAATTATCTGAAATAGAGAAATATATCTAAGGAAAAGTAAAAAAAAATATTTCAAATGCGGTCATTTAAATAATTAATGGCAATATTTTTCCATATCATTCTTATACTTCCTTGCTATCAACTTTTCGTTTCAACCAACTCCCTTTTGGCCTACCACTTACAACAGTTTCCTAACAAATTGCTGCTCGTATGAACCTAAAGAAAGATCGCCCTATTTACAGTGGGACGTAATTCCATTAGTTCATGAATCGTGGTATTTTATTATCATCAAAAGAATTTCGAAGTTTCTCACATAAAAAAAATATCAAAGATGAAACCTAATCTGAACCCCGACAACATTTTCACGAGTTTTAATACAAATTTATTATCGCTTTCAAAATGGAATCCTTTTGAGCCAATACAAGCATGCCAACGCTTAATCTATTTTTTTCTTACACTTGTTACTTGTACAAAGCTCGGCGGAAACGGATTTCAGTACTTTCAGCGAATAACTTTTAATGTCCTCAATGGACTTGTGTCGCGTTTTCGGTTTCGAAAACAGGAAAAAGTCACACAAAACAGCTAACTCAGACAAATGCGGTGTTTAAATATTGTACATATATGGTATATAATAACAGAGATATGATTCGATGAATATAAGCTTTAGGTGTTCATATAAAACCCTCTTCCCCCTACAAGGAATACAATGACTGATAAATTTTATCATATATTAGGTAAAGCTTTATGTAGGATTATAAAATGTTCAACGATCTTTTTTTCATAATCACATTGGCCTTGACAACTCGGATGCTCTCCTTCCTTGGATAGTGTTCTGACCTTAACGACTGCACTCATATTAAGCGATAAAAATAATAAATAGATTATCTATAAGTTATGTTGAGAAGTCAATTGTGAGTTCCGATCATCTAGGAGAACAATTTATTTCCTAGACATCATATTAAGTGTATCTTATATCTTTGCGCTGCGATATTTGGGTTAGATTTCGATGTCGTTAGAAATTTGCGCCATCGAGCTTAGTTTTACTGGGCTCACTTTCATTCTCAAACTCCTTTAAACGTATGATTTTTACATACCGATAAGTTAAAACTTCAGATTTTAGTTGAAAATAATATTTCTTCCGATTTATGCTCTTTTACCATCCTATGATATCACCCTGTAGAAATATTTTTCAGTGCCTGCCGCACTATAAAAGATTGCGCTGCATAAAACCGTTAATCAATTCAAAGAGATCTCTAAACTCATATAATAGTACTGATTTATTTTTTTATAAACATTTGTAGCCACGCGCAGAAAATTTGAATTTTACTCCAAATAAGTTACAAGTATATCTAAACATCTATCCTCTCAGGAACAAGCAAATACAATTTCTTCTTTCCTTTTGCATTTTCTGCTTTACTTTTATTTTCATTTCAGGGTGTGCTGGTTGTCTTTGGATCTAGTTCCTTCTTTTAGCTTTACTTAATTTTTTACTCGTCTACATTTTTATGTGTTACGTAAATGTTCAAAAAATGTAATATTTTTCAATTAACTTTTCACTGTGTCTTTTAAATATAAATATTATCGCCACTTGCTTTATTTGATTATCATTCCACCAATTGTTGAGAACAATTCTTGTTGACCATAAATCATTAGGTGTAGTACATTTCTTTTGGGATTCGTTACCGTTATTAATCGAAAGGTTATGTTAGTTTCGAATACAAGCATACNGAATCTGTCCGTAAACGTTTATAAGTTGATTGCATGTCTTTCCCGGCTGTTATATTACATAGATCTTACAGATTTCGAGATAATAATTAACTCAACACTTAAACGACAAGAACAAGCGCTTGAGAAAGATCTGCCTAATGATGAAATCTAAAGATGATCAGCATCAGGGGAATGATCTATACTTGTATATTATTAAATTTTGTTGCTATGTCTACTATACATTGTATTCACTGTATAGGATCGCTTCCCATAGTGATTATATGGACTGAGTCTATTGTCTGCTCGCACAGCATATTGTAAATCGAAGCTCATTACTTTCCCGATAAGTTAACAGACTAATTATAACATAATAGTTAAAGAACCAGCTAATCACTTTTTAATGAGCTTTTTTCGAGACATTTCCTCATACTGTGGAAGCATATATAAAGCGTGGGTTCGAGCAATTAAATATCAAAATCAAAATGGCAATTCCAAGCTTCTACATAGCATTACTTGTACTCGTTTGTTTAGTGGCCGAGGCCATACAAAGTCCAAGTCCAAGTCCACGTATCGTTAGCGGTAGTAACGCTGCAAGGGGTCAATTTCCTTATCAGGTATCCGTACGTGTAGGCGGAGAGCATGTGTGCGGTGGAGCTTTGATTTCCCAAAGTTTTGTTGTAACTGCAGCACACTGTGTGGCCAGGTAAAATATTTTCATTCAACACCTATAGAGTCATCTCATACTTGAAATATATATTTCTTTCAGTATTTCACCAACATTCCTTACTGTACAAGCCGGTACGATAAATCTCACCGAAGCCGGTACTATTTCTCAAGTAGCGAAGATAATTCCGCATCCCGACTACAATTACGATAATGACATTGCATTACTACAGTTAAGTGAACCATTTAACTACTCCAGTGTCATACGACCAATAAGATTGGCTACTAATGAAACACCAGCTGGCGAAGAGGTTACCATTACTGGTTGGGGTCGCATAACTGATGGCGGTGCACTCTCCGAAATATTACAGTATAGTCGCAAACTGACTGTTTTAAGTGATAAGCAGTGTGCTCGTATAGCCGGCCCCATTAATCCGGGCGTACAATGTCTTTCTAAGGTTCAAAATAATGGCTTCTGTGATGGTGATGATGGTGGTCCAGCAGTTCACAAAGGCGTATTGATTGGCATCGCAAGTTATTATTCCGATGGCTGTGGCTCTTCTGCGCCAGACGGTTATACTAAGGTGTCCTATTATAATAACTGGTTAGTTTCAAACTTAGTTTAGAAGCAGTTTGAAAGAAATCACAAGTTTATAAACAATAAAGCTCAATAGTAACCAACACTTTTGCATACAACTGTTATTTCTTATCAGTCCTGTGTTGTGATCGAAAAGTAGAAGAGAAGGACATTAACTATATACTTATTCGATTTTTAATTTTATTTCCTGAAGTTGAGAGATATATCTAAAGAAGTACTCACATTACAGGGACTAGTAAAAAAAAATATTTCAAATCCTGTCACTTAAATCATTAACGGAAATATTTTTCCACATCATGCATTTACTTTCATGCTATCGACTTTACCAACACCCTTTTTGTCCATTAAGTACTTAAGACGGTTTCCTAACACATTTCTTCTCGTATAAACCGAAAATAGGAGGAACGCCCTATTTACAGTGGTTCAATTCAATTTTTTCTTACACTTGTTACTTGTATAAACCTCGGCGGGGATGGCTTTCAGTACTTTCACCGAATGATTTTTAATGGCTTCAGTGGACTCGTGGCGCATTTTCGGTTTCGAAAACAGGTAAAAAGTCACACAAAACAGCTAAATCTGACTAATGCGGTGGTTAAATACATATATGGTATGTAATAACAGAGATATGTTCCTAATGTTTGATAAAAGTGAGCTCTAAGCATTCATATTATAAGCATCCTTTTAAAAGCGCCTCTTGCGCTGACAAGAAATACAAAAACTGCTATCATTTATCATATATTAGGTATAGTTTTAGGTAGGATTATAAAATTTTTAGTGATATTTTTTTCATAATCACCATCAGCTAGCAAATCTATTCATTTCTAAAACATCATCTCAAGTGTATCATATGCCTTATCGGTTGCGATAGTGTAGGTTCGATATCGTTGAACATTTGTGCCGTCGAACGTGGGCTGGACCTGCCGTTTGCTGGGTTCATTTTCATTCTCAAACCGCTGAACCTGAAGATCTTTCCCCGCCTTTGATCCTTGCAATTTACAAGAGTATGAAATGTTCAGTTACACCCGACTTCACTTTTCCTTACTTATTGTTTATTATATATTTGTATTTGTATATACCTATGTAGATATACTATATATTAGGTCAAGTAAAAAGTTCGTTCGGTTTTTATCTAAGAGATGGCGCAAGAGAGAACTCCGCCAGCAGTGCGGTCACAGTGCCCGCTTGTACACCTAGGAAATTGTGATCAACGCTGAAAAAATACATTCGTTTTTTATTATCCTCCTATACCTTTGGCAGTGAAGCTCAACTCAACTTGTGGACACAATGTGCTGCGATAAGCACAAATTTTGGAGACACCAACCGCCACCAACAAATATGCTGCTTATTACGCGCACGGATACTTGATAGTAATGTGTGCTGAGGCAGCAACTTGACCGTTAAATGCGGAGACTCGGTCCTGGTTCCGCGGATACATCTTCATGCGTGGTGCCTCTGCCAAAAATAAAAGGCTCAATAGCTTTATAAAGAGGCTTCGAAATCCATTTAGAGAAAAGTGAAATGAAGTACTTATTGATTAATCACGCCTTATATAGGGCTAAGATTTTGAGACACGTTGCAAGTTCGGTGAAACGTGCCGAGAAAAGTCATTAAAAAGTGATTAGAAAATTGCTAAAATCTAGCAATTAATGATTTTCATACTCTGGTAAACGTTGTACAGAATCAGATGTTTTGTTGACATAACGGTTGTTTTGAATACCTAAAACTCTATACGACAGATATAAAGTTATATGAAAGTATCAAACTATTTGGAAATATCAAGACGAAATATAGAACAATTTGGGGTCGTAACAAATAGCAACTCTGTGCTATATAATTATTTCTAAAACAGTTCAAACTTTTCTATCTCATATAATATGTACTGATATTCTTCCTTCAGATTGACTTTATACCGATTGGCTTCCAGATGGGTAACTGATGGGTAGTTAATTAAAAATAAGTAGAATATGGAAGAAATGTTGAATGTTAACCTAATGTATTAATAATCATTTTGAAAATAAAAGAGCTTGGGTATCGATGGAGCATCAGGACGAAAATTACATATAATATGATGATGTTACAATTTAATTGAATTGATTGCGAGGGATTAAGATCTGTTTAAGTCACAGCTTAAGCTTTCACACACTAAAGCTTCCACAAGAAGCGAAACTCGACAGTTAAGTTGGGTTTTACATAAGTGTATTAAAATTTAAATGATTGAACACAGTCTGGTACGAGAAAAACAGTTATATATGAGGATTGTTTTGGAGATCGAGTTGGTTCTCCACTAAAAAATATAGAAACATATAAGTTCTTGGTTTCTGTTAGTTTGATCACTCCTCAGCCGTAAGCTTATCATAGACGACTTTTAGCAGATTAGTATAATCTATATGGCTTTAATGATATCTCGCACACATCACAGGTTTCTTATTAAATTCACAGAACTGAACATGGACCCAATACGACAAAAAATCTAAGATATTTTTATATGAAAATGACGACTATTTTTTACCCTAAACCGGATAAATAAAGTTTGCACAAGAAGTAAGAAAATCGGATACCTCATAAACAAATAATATATATAAATTATCACATGACGATCTGTCCGACTTAGCCATACCCGTATTGTCGTTGTACGTTTATCGTTTATAAGAACTACTTTCCTCAGATTCCCCCAGCATAGACAAAAAATTATATTTAGATTAAGCCACATATCCTTTTACCTTGTATGGAAAATTAGTGTTTGACAAAAATCTTCAACGAAATTTGACAGTCATTATTATGCAAAGCGGCGCCACACTATCTCCGAAAATATTCTAAATACGACCATATAGACATAGCTTCAAATCAAATTCTTAAAGGAATCTTTTGTATTTTATTGAGTATAAATAGCCCGAATTCTAATGAAGTCAGAAATAAATGCTCGTGGATTTAATATAGTAATGATGAATAAGAGAAGAGAGTGTAATTACTTTTTGAAAATTATGTGTTATGAACCACATATATAAACAAAGAAGTTTGAAAACGAAAAGTCCAATTCATGAAAGTAAGAGATTGGTATGGAAAATAATGCCAATATAATTTTAATGAAAGACTTTAAAGACTTGTTTTTCCTTCCCAGTATGATAAGTAGTCTCATTTAGATATATTCCCATTTCAGAGAATTCCATTTAGTAGAATACCATTATAGCTAATGATCCTTCTAGATCCGTAAATAAGTCAGATACATACAAAATTAATCACATTGTCTTGGCGCTGGTTCCTTCCATTTTTCGACCACTTCACATGAAGGATACAGATAAAAGTTGTAAACCAAGTGTTGAAACAGTTGAGCTTTATTGTTTATAAACTTGTGTTTCGTTCCAAACTGCTTCTAAAACGTATTTGCAACTAACCACCTATAAATAGGACACCTTGGTATAACCGTCTGGCGCAGAAGAGCCACATCCATCGGAATAATAACTGGCGATACCAATCATACGCCTTTGTGTACGGCTGGACCACCATCATCACCATCACAGAAGCCTCTATTTTTAACCTTAGAAAGACATTGATGCCCGCATTAATGGGACCGGCTATACGACACACTGTTGATCACTTAAAACAGTCAATTTGCGACTATACTGTAATATTTCGGGGTACACCCCATCAGTTAAGCGACCCCAACCAGTAATGGTAACCTCTTCGCCAGCTGGTGTTTCAGTAGTGCCAATGTTATTGGTCGTATGACATTGGAGTAGTTAAGTGGTTCACTTAACTCCAGTAATGCAATGTCATTATCGTAATTGTAGTTGGGATGTGGAATTACCCTCGCTACTTGGGAAATAGTACCCGCTTCGGTGAGATTTATCGTACCGCTTGTACAGTAAGGAATGTTGGTGAAATACTGAAAGAAATATATATTTCAAGTATGAGATGACTCTATAGCCGTTGAATGAGTATATTTTACCTGGCACACAGTGTGCTGCAGTAACAATAGTATTTTGAGAAATCACAGCGCCACCGCAAATATGTTTTCCGCCTACACGTACAGATACCTGATAAGGAAATTGACCCTCTGCAGCGTTACTACCGCTAACGATACGTGGACTTGGATTGGACTTTGTATGCCTCGGCACCAAACAAACGAGTACAAGCAAAGCTATGTAGAAGCTTGGAATGTCATATGATCTTGATATTTAATTGCTCGAACCCACGCTTTATATATGCTTCCACAGTATGTGGAAATATTTAGAAAAAAGCTCATTAAAAAGTGATTAGCTGGTTCTTAAAGCATTATGTCAGTCTACAAATTACTAACTAATTAGTCCGTTAGCTTATCGGGAAAGTAATGAGCTTCGATTTACAATACGCTGTGCGAGCAGACAAGAGACTCAGTCCATATAGTCACTATGGGAAGCGATCCTATACAGTGAATATAATGTATAGTAGACATAGCAACAAAATTTAATAATGTACAAGTATAGATCATTCCCCTGATGCTGATCATCTTTAGATTTCATCATTAGGCAGATCTTTCTCAAGCGCTTGTTCTTGTCGTTTAAGTGTTGAGTTAATTATTATCTCGAAATCTGTAAGATCTATGTAATATAACCGCCGGGAAAGACATGCAATCAACTTATAAACGTTTACGGACAGATTCTCACGGAAGGGGAAAAGTGACAGAAGGACACCGAAAGTTTGTATCAGGTAATTTAGGGACGTTCGAGTGCCGGTGATGTGAGGCCACAATGAAGACATTTAGCAGAAATTTGGATAAGGTGCTCTAGGACTAAAAATAAATTGCAAATTCTAGGCGGCTGGTGAATATTTAATTTGGTAGAGTTTGCCGAGAAGAGTAAGGGATTACTTTCGAAATGAATTTTCAGTATTGCAAAAGCCGATTGGGAGTTGTGAGTATATTTATCGCAATTTTCAACGACAGGCCTCCCGACGCGTGGTGCATCTTTGACATCGAAATTACCGGAACGGAACCTAACAAATCACTTTTGTGCTACACGTTCGTTTACAGCATCGGACCCATAAGTTAAATTAATTTTTTCAGCCACTTTGGCTATAGCGAATTTTCTCTTTGCTGGTGTCCATCTT